CAACCCCATGAAGCAGCAAGTAACAATGATCTTTTGGTTTTTTATATACTGGCTAGCCATGGTGTGAAGAGAGACAGTAAAACTCACTCATCCTGCCTGCGTATTCATTGCCTGCCAGTGCATTAAGGTATTTTAAACAACATACATGCAGTTTACCATTCCATTTGTTGTGCAGAAAGTAAAAGTTGGAGGTTTTTTTATACTACCCTGTTATTCTTTAACATTCACCTACCAAGAAAGAAAGCTGTTTGCCTCTCATTTGAGATCTACTGGCAAATGTTCATCTGGTGCAAATTAGAATAGCTCAGTTTCAAGACAGTGGGATGATCTACCTATACAGTCACAACACTTTGTAATTCACCTTGTTGGGGGAATAAGGAAGGTATCAACAGTTAAAAGGATTTGAAAGAATGTATAATCTAAACAGATATCCTGGTTCCAGGTAACATCCACATATATGTAATAGGACTTGAGAATGCTGTGGCAATATTACCTATATTTGTTTCACCCTCCTTCTTCCACACTTCAGTTGACTCTTTGCTGAAGTATAGGCCATACTTTTGTATCTGAAGGGCTTTCAAGAAAACATGGCATAGATTTCAGTCTTAAAGCTAGTTATAAGCAATACCCAGCGAAATGGATGTTACTAGCAGCCAAACCTCTTTCACAGAGAGGATCACAATCTTTCTTATTGAAATAAATATGCAAGGCACACATGCAGCAGTATGAAAAGTAAGACGTATTACCAATATTCTTTGGAATACTATGAGTTTCTTTTAAAGTAAAATATAAGTAAAGATACTCGTGTTCCTCATTTAGTGTTTCCCCCTTTATTGCTTTTATTTAATAGAATCATAGAAAATTAGGTCATCCAGTCCAATCCCCTGCTCAAAGCAGGGTCATCCCCCGCTAGATCATCCCAGCCAAGTCTTTGTCTAGCTGGGTCTTAAATACCTCCAAGGATGGAGATTCCACAACCTCTCTGGGTAACCTGTTTTAGTGCTTTACGATCCCAGTGAGAAATTTTCCTAATATCCAACCTAAATGTCCTTTGCTGTAATTTGAGACCATTGCTTCTTGTTCTGTCATCTGCTACCACTGAGAACAGTCTGACTTCACCCCCTTTGGATTTACCATTCAGATAGTTGAAGCCTGTTATAAAATCCCCCCTCCCCCAAATCTTCTCTTCTAAAGACTAAATGAGCCCAATTCCCTCAGCCTCTCTTCATATGTCATGTGCCTCAGCCCCCAAACCATTTCCTTTGCCCTCTGCAGGACTCTCTCCAACTTGTCCACATCCTTTCTATAGTGGTGGGGGAGGGCAGAGGAAACTGGACACAGGACTCCAGATATGGCCTCATCACTGCCAAATAGAGGAGAATAATCATTCTCCTTGATCTGCTGGCAATGCTCCTGTAGCAAAACCCCTAGTTTTTCTTTTTTTAATTTATTTTAAAATGCATTCCCTCCCCTTCCCCAACCATTTCTGACTTTTTCTCTCCCTCTCTATTCCCTATAGATAAGTATAAGGAAGCTAAGATGTAGGGTAAGCTTTAACATTTTATTTTAGATAGTAAGTTTCATTTTTCTCTTCCCTCTTTGCTAATAAGTGCCCTGCTATTTTGATATAGATAGCCACTGTTTTATAAGTGATAATTATTATGTTTGTATTGATTTTTTTTTTATTGCTTTTATATTGTGCGATTACTGTTTTCGGCCTATATATGTAAGTTAGCATAAGTCATGTCAAGTTTCCATCTAGTAATGTCAAGTCTCCATCTTATCCCCATGCCCAGTTGTGTAACCCATGACTCAGACCTACTCCTCCTATGTAACTTGGTTCCTGAATGAATGGGGATGAATGAAGGTGCTTGAGAGACAATGGCAGTAGGTCTAAAAATAGCTCCCTCTGAATGACCGAACCATCAACACCAATACCTGGACCAACGGCCCAGCCCTTGGAACCACCCTCAGCATTCAAGAAACAAAAGATGAGGCAACCCACCATTGTGCCAAGCTGCACATGCTCAGTAAGAACACCTGGAGCCCTCTGGGACAGTAGTGACATTGCCTGGACAGGTACTCTGCATAGGAGATCGGAGGCAGTCTGCCCCGTAAAAGGGGTAGTGAAGACTAACTCCTTGGGACACCCTCTCCATCTGGACCAGCACCATGCCACACCACCTATCCACCCAGAGTCCCTTCCAGCGACCCCAATCTGGACAACACCTGTTGGACAAAGACCCCTTTCCAGCCTGGATAGGTAGCTATCACCACCCTCCCCATCTTCAACCAAGGACTTGGACTCTGCTTCTCTTCCCTGCCTGGACTCCAACCCTTCTACTGAGTCTCTTTCTCCTGCTGCCAGTGTGTGTGTGTGTGTGTGTGTGTGTGTGTGTGAGAGAGAGAGAGAGAGAGAGA